ACATTGCAACAGAATCAGATCAGACCTACGCCAATGATCCCATCCATTCAAAGGGACCAAGTCACAGGAAGTAAATCTAAATCTGAATTCTTAAAATCAACTTTAAATTATATGAACACTACAGGCCAATACCAAATATCTTGACAATACTGACCTTTAAAGGGCCAAAAGCAGAATAGTTCACAATGGAGGAAGCTATCAAAGCTCATTAACTGTGTCACATTATTCACTTTAATAAATCCTACTCTGCTCTACAAAAGAGACAGGGCTGCAGATGGTTATGAAAAGGAAGCTGATGGTAGAAGTGTGCCTTTGAAACAAACAGTGTACATTTAGCATTCTTTTTAACTAGCTTGTTGACTAAAATTTATCATCCCTTTAATAAAACCCAGTCAGCGTGGTAAAAAACAGTAAACAGCAAACACAAGTGTCTAGTGTGCTAGCACATTCTGCAGTATTTACCAACTATTTTGCTGAAGAGCCTTGATGGTATTGCACCAGCAACCAAGAACCTACATTTGCATGCCCTGAGAAAACGCATTGGCACTTTCAGGTGAGACCAAGTGTCTCAGTTTCAAAATGTTAGCTCATGAGAATAACTCTTAATTGCTAATTTTAGCAGGTACTTTCTACAGCCATGTTTTAGTTGCCATTCAGTCAGTACTAAGGCTGAGTAAATCACTAGTGTGGACAAATTTTGTACTTGAGCTCCAGCTTTAATTATGACTCAGTAGTCAAAAGTTTTTGACACTCTCCAGAAAATCAAATAAGCTAATGAGTGGGAACAGTATATGGTGTGAAATGGAGACCCGTGCCAAACTCTGGATTGAATAAAAACAGGGAGATATTATTAAATGTGTCTGGGTTCAAAGGCCCAATTTGTTGTTAATTTCAACATCCATTATGAGCTATTTAAAAACAAATGTAGCCCTCACTCTGCTTTATGTTTCACTGGTCACTTGCTCTTCTCCTTGTCCACTCCCTCGCTATCTTTTCGGGGTTAAGATATAACCGCATGTTTGTGTGTGTGTGTAGGGAAAAACAAAGACTCTGATATTTTCCAGCCCTTTGAATAACTACTGCTGAGTCATTGGTCAGCTATTCAAAAAAAGGGCTTTACCTCGGCCTGAAGTTATTAAAGGAAAGTCTTAGTCCAGGTTCACATGAGTATTACTTTAGGCACCAAGTACATACAGTCAACTATAGGAAGCAGAAGCAGACATGCAACTCCTCCACTTCTGTGCTCTCCACATGTTGACTTTCTTTGTTTGGTTTTTACCCGCCTCTCTTCAGCTCTCGCTCCATCTCAGCCTCCTTCCTAATCTCACACCAAAAATGCAAGCTGTTTATTTGCGTAGGTCTGAAACCATTCCATTAAGTAGCCCCACCAGGTGCTTTATCCCTAAAAGGGATTTGTTTTTCTAAAATAAACGGAGAAAGCAAAGGACTGCCAAAGTGATATCTACCATGACATGAAGTGAGCGCAACAAAGTCAAACTATCTAAATAAGAGGCACTGAGGCTTCAAGGAACTTTATGGAATTTTCATACATAGCCACAAACATTCATGTAGTGAAAACAAACAGGAATCTGTAGAATGTGTGCAATATATAAATGTACTGCTGTGCTTTAGGTGGTGAGGGTGTATGTACATAAGATATTCCATCCGTCTCAGCACCACTGCTTTGCTGTAAAGGCAGTCTGACAGATGCTTCCCTAGGTTACCACAAAAAACCCTGTGTAGTCATTTTGCTCAGAAGACAACAAATCAATCCCATTTATTAGCTCTATTTCATCTTTTCTGAAGCTGAGACACAAGGCCAAGACTGAGAAAGAGAGCTCTGGCACTTTTCCTCTCACTTTTGTGATTTTCTTTTCATCTCGCTATAAGACAACTCATCTGCAGATGGAATTTGCTTACTTCTGTCACCTCAGTCAATCTCACACGAGGGCTCTGTCACGTTAGCCGTCTGCACCTGGTAGCCGACTGACATTATCAAAGCTGCTCACTCTCCGAGGCAGACCAGAGAGTACACATCCATCAATATGTTCCAGACCAAGAGAAGACATGGCTGTCTGATGCTGATAGAAAAATAGATTGAAACTTGTCAAATGTGCTTTTCTACAAAAAAAGATATTTTAAGTAGCTTCAAGATCGCACATCTGTGATGACATTATAAGTAGGATTCCACCTACCTCACAACTACAGATAATTCCTATTCAGAGAGTTGCACGGAAAGAATCTCGCCCCATTGTGTAACATACGGTACTGAACATAAGGCGCGAATTTAACTGTGCAACCTGTTTAGTCAGACAATACGAAGGCAGACGATCTGCCAGAGTGTGTACCGATAGCAGCTGATGCACCCATGGGAGCAGAGCATCAGATAGGGAACGCAGACAGTGGCCAGGTGAGGGTGTTTAGAATGCTTTGACACATCCTGCGATCTCAATCAACAGGAAAAGGCAGAGGCATACGGTCGCTGTATGTCTCTGCGCTGGTCTGTATTGTGACGCCTTTGTAGTGACGATAATTTTTCATTTTCACGCTGCCTTGCATCTATTCTGCCTGTCACTGTTTTTAGCCGCAGCAGATAAGCTCAGAGAGTAGATTACGGTACTTACAGTGCATGAAAAACACAGCAACAAAACTGCAAATGACAGAAGCGTTTTACTTTCTTGCTAGAAATCTCCCCCATGTGGCACTTTCGCTACAGCGAGTTGTTTATTATGTTCCAAGCTAGGCATAAGCGATTAAAGGAGCTCTTAAGAATCAAAGTGTTATAAATGCATGGAAACACAGCCGGCTGTAAATGCCACAGAATTAGAAGCTTACCGAGCCTAATACTAATACATGGCAATTTTCAGCTTGATGCTGATATAAAGAAATTACTTTTTTAAAGTAAGCAATAAATGCAGTCAAGGGAACGATTACAGAGGCCCTATTTTCATCCCGGCATAAATCTCAACACGACCTTTCTGCGGGTCCAACTCATGAATCCACTTGTTTATTCTTAACGCTTCCATAAAAAGTAGATTAAACAAAGCAACTTCAACAGCTAAATGAAAGCAATATAAGCATTCACAGCAAAGCAAGAATTACAAGACGTGCCTCTTTGCACATTGTGTTCTTCTCTCCCTTACATGGATTCATGAAATTCAAATGACATCCAACATGAGAGGATAAGACTTTGAAAGACCTCAAAACAGGGGAACATGTTTTGGGCATCTGAGGATTGTCTTTTTTTTTATTGGGTTGGAAAGCTGGATGTCATCAGGTCTGAATAAATTGGCCAAAAAGGAGGCACACATCAGAAGCAGCCCTATCACACAGATATGCCCGTATGATGATAAATATTCCAGATATCCAAATCAAAACTTTTGTCAGTAGCCTGCACCTCAAGTATATGTCATACTCTAAAGTGCATGCTTTTAAAATAAATATTTTTAAAAGTGCGTTCGGTCCAAATGGAGAGAAAAATGAGCACCATACATGCTTTTTACACACTCGTCCTCTTTGACTCGATTGCACTTTAAAAGAGCTTTAAACACCAAGACATATTAATCCCATAAGCTGCCACGGGGATTTCTGCATTAGTGATGCAATCAAAATCACATTGGAAGCTTGTGTCAACAATTAAGCTGATCTTGCCACATTAACATTAATTACACAACCATTTGGAAGATTTCAGTGCTGATCTTACATCTGGAGCAGGCAGCTGAGGGCTCTGGTGGAGTGGACCTGAGTATGCGGAGAATGCACTCCAGATAAACTCTCAACATGAGTCCTCTGCTTCTATTTTTTTCCCAAGGCTGAATCTTGTAAACGTGGTAGTGACTGAATCCCAAAAAAGAAGACCAAAGGCTTACTGTTACATTGTTACATTGCAGAGAAGAGAGAGTCCTACAGTGCAACTGTAACAACACTTAGATATTTGTTTTCAGAATGCACGGAGAAGCTGCAGCTGTTAATATTTAAGACAGGATTTGTCTACAGGCAGGTGTTTTTTATTAGCAATCCAATATGACATTTTTAACATGCCACTTGAAGAAATATATTCAAAGAAAAACACTTGCAAAGTCTCTCTAGGTTCAAGAGTACAAAGAGTACAATCTCTTTTTTTTTACTGATCACACAACTATTCATTTTAATATTTATCAAATCAACTAAACAAAACCAAACAAACATGAGTTACATTACTCAGAATAGCTTTGTTGCCATTTAAAAAGCTACCTACAATGAAAGCACTGCTACCCATGTCCAACGTATCCACTCACAAGTCACAGCATGTTTTTGGGGGGGAGCTAGTGAGTGAGAGACAGAAAAGAAATAATACAAAGAGAGATGAAAGAAAATATGGCAAAGAGAGGGAGATGAGGTGAGCTTTAAGTTGTACGAGACAGAAAACAGACGCACTCCTCCTCTGAAGCCCTGAGCTCCTGAAGTGTTATCACCCCCCACCCCCCGCATGCAAAGCACTTCTCCAAAGTCCTACTAAGCCTCACTCGATCGCTCCATCCAGAAGTTCACATCCAGGGGGCCTCAGACTCTCTCAGACAGAGACACGGGTGTGAGAAGCAAACCTGAGATACGGGGGGTGATATGCCAACCATAGCAGCTGTGTGTGTACTCCAACTCCCTTGTCTTGTTTGGTAAACACAGCATTACCTTATTTTAGCTAAAACCTTCCTAAAAATCTAGTTACTGTCCATACGCCCCTGCGTCCAATTAGTCCTTCAACACTAAAAACCTTTTTAAAATCAAACCACTAACTTTCTTAACTAGCCACGGTTCTAGTTTCTGATCAGCAGCTTCTCTAAACACTAACAGAGTGCACCTGTCAAGTCCCCGGCCCACCCTCTTGGCCCTACATGTACACACAAAAATACAGTACACAAACAAGAAAACCACCCTGCATTGAGTTACTTATTAAGCCCTTTCAATAGAGCATTCGCACACACATGCTGGGTCTGGAGTCTGGTAAATGATTGTGTGTTTACCTTCCACGAGGACTTGCTTATTTAAAGCAATCTTCAGTTCCAGCGGTGGTGAAACAGCCTCCTCGCCCTGCAGACACAAAACGGGAGAATTATTTAGAATTCTGAAATAATTACCGCTGCAATGTTCGTCATCAGCACCCTCGAGCCAAATTACAAAAAAAAAGAGACACGAGGTACACAGGTGTAAACTACAAGCAGCCGGCAACGAGCCAGCGGCTTCCACCAGTTGCTATCGATTGGAATTGATAACCGGCGCAACCAGTCTTATATGTTCTGAGAAACCATCAGAAAGAAATCAATTCTCTACATTCCTGTGCTGTTTGCCTCCCCTTGTTTGTATGAAGCTGTACAAGCAGTCAGTGTACCTTCCTCAGCTGCTAGGAACGTAAAAGCAACCATTTCAGCTCAGAGCGGGGCAGGAGGCACCTTTCCTTTATCTTCCTGTAGCCTACTATTGTCACCGTCCGACACATCCTCGCATTTCCATCTGCCTGTTAACTACAACTACACCCACTGATGATAACAAGTGAACAATGGGGCTGTCTGTGAGTGAATGGTTTATTTGCAAGACAAAAACTTTTCATATTACTGACAGAGGATGCCCTTCTTGGCACCCCCTGCTGGTGAACACACCTCATCTATACCTGCTCTGCCCTCGCTCTACTCCCCTGGGTGGACCTGATCTGAATTCACGGCTTTCCTAAGTGAGCACTCAACCCAGGCGAAGAAAGATGAAAAAAGAAAGAAGGAAACAAAATCTTATTTTTATGGTAAACTGAGAAGTGACTGTGGACCAATATCTCAGGTGAATTTGAATAAAAGCATTAAAGCATATCCAAATATGAAAAAAAGGCTCCAACTCCCTCTCCCGCTGTTCTTTTCTGCCGTTTACATTTGGCAGTCAAAAATGTGGCCGGGCATTTGTGAAAGTGTATATCTAAAGCATGCCGAACGCAGATAAAAACAACCCGGACCAACGTGCCCAGTTTCAGCGTTAATTATGAGTTAAACGCCCTTGTTGAAAACACGAGTCAACATGCAGCTCGCTCTGAACTCTACCGAGGGTTGAACAATCATTGAAAATGGACCATTCCCACACAACTACCCTATTATTGTGATTCATTACACTTCAATTAACATATCATCAATGGAATCGTAAATCAATGGTGAGTGGTGACAAATGACAGATATTTTCAGTTTCAAACTACTAAACATCATTAATTCCCATCACCTGAAAGAGCCCCGGGAGCTAAATGAGTTTACCCAATGCATAACATCCATTTAGATAAATGTTCCATCATTTTAATGATGGAAAATTTGTACTGGAGAGAAAAGGCAACAACGGGATCCTGATAGCAGCTGTACGCCTTTTCTCCTTGTAATATAAAGCCCATCTTGTAATACCTAAACAGATAATTGTCTCCATTTCAAACAGCACAGGGTTGTAATATTGCCATTTAGAACAGTGGGGGTGCACAGATCGTAGGGTGAGGATAAACAAGCACATGCTGCTTAGCCCGGTTGGGAAAAGGGAACCCATCACACACTCCCACATTGAGATTTTAGGGAATAGAACAACTCCTGGTTGAGATAATTACCCACCAAGGTGGGTTATGTGCATGCTCAGTAAGAGGCCAAATCTAAGAAAATGAATCTAAATGCAACAATTTTAAAAGACAAAGGAAACTAAGAAGCATTTTCTAAGGTTCTCATGCAAAGTCTTGGCTGGCTGTTGCAGATCTGCCGTGCCATTTGGTTAAAAACAAAAAAAAAACCAACACAACGGCACATAGGACAACAAAGTACTTTTGACATGGAAATCTCACAGTGCAGTGACACGTAAAACTGATACTAACTGCACAGAGTTACACCAGTGATACAAACAAAACAGCACTTTGTTCCACCTAAACCTTTCAGCCAAACTCATGCAACAAACAACATCTTGGTGAGCACAGAATTCCAACAATCTGCTGGATACAAACTCAATAGAAAAATACCTGTTTGTCAGTTATAGCCTGCAGTTAGCCATTAATCTTGGACTTTCCCAAGGGGGGCATGTTCCAGGCTTGTAGTAGCACAGCTACTAAAAAAACGCATGTTCTGTCATAATTAGTTGCTCTGTGTATTTTCTCCATATTATCTTTCCAGTACAGTCACTCGGATTGTGTTTTCTTTACCTGGGTGGGTTGCTGGATTGATGACAACTCCTGGAAAGAGGTATAAAGCAAAACAAGACTTGATGTCTTGCTGATTTCTGTCAAAAATGACTCACATATCTCAGCAGCGATTGCTTAAAAGTAAAAGATAATGAGCAGGAAGCTTTGACTTTCATTAATTATATACACTTAATTGAAATATGTATTCCACTATGTTTTCATTGAAGAGGTAGTGGAATACTGATAGTGTTACTTCTGTTACTGGATGCCACTTGAAGTAGCCTGAGAAATTTTAAAAACTGGCTACTAGTATGTACAAAGACTACAATGTAAGATATACATAATGAAATGATACAAAAATGAACATTACATTTTTAAGTTAATTATGCAGGAAATTTTTATTTGTGCCGCTACGAGACCTTTTTATTAGCCCGATAGCTTTCAGGTGATCCATAAAAATGTTTCCATTTTGTATGCAAATACCACAGGGCTTCATTGTAGTCATGGTGGGAAAAACATGCAAACACCTTATTTTCAGAGGAAATGGAACAATCAGAAGGGTTTTTTGCTATGGTAATGAACGGCTGTGGTTACATGTGAGTGTGAACAAAGACTCATTTTATTCTGTCCACAAACCTGTGAAGTGGACTTTCCTATTTTTTGAAGGGGTCACGGCTTCACAATATGCTCTCTAGTCACAGGTATGTTATCAGTGCCTTTGGCTTTGTTGTAAGATTGCATGTTCAAAATATGAATTAATACCCCTCCACTGAAACGCACCCAATCCCAACAAAAGGCCTGCATTCACTGTGGACAGCTCTTCAGCTCCTCTAATGGACAGGCTCTCCTCTCTCTTCACACCGTGCAGACAAAAAGATGAGGGCCCATGAATATTTACCACTAAGTAAAGTTATTCCATTAATTACTCTAAGCACGCTTAATACTATATCTGTGGCTACTTCTGTGGCGGCTTGTTAATGAACCTTCACATATCATTACCATATTAATTAATGCTCAACTCAATGGTTGTCAATAGGAGGCTGCCAGAGTTGTCTCGTGGTTCTTTACAGCCCATCCTGCATGTTTGGTCCACTTAGCATCAGCATCTGAATAATTCTACAGCATCTATTTATCATGCCAGGCTATAATAGTCTGTTTGAATCTAAAAGAAAAAAAGTTGAGATACTGGTTTAACGTAGCTAAAAGCATTGTGTAAATAAAATAGGGTGTAGAAGAGTTGTAGTTGTGTAGAGTCACTGATATGCAGGGTCACTGGTATTTGTTTTTAGGGTGTGTGCAGGAGATTTTCCTAGTCACTGTCTGTGCAATGAAACACAGGAAAATCTAAAGCATGACTCACTTCTCAACAAACGCAGCTGCTTACTGTATGATCTGATCTGCCAAAAGGGCTGACTGCACAGTATTTTCCCCCTCTTTTCTTCTGGGCTTTTATTAAGAAGGACTGATTAAATGAAAACCATGGCTAAGTCTCATAAAGTCTAAAAAGTCAGCATTTTAAAAAAGTGGAGAAAAATGCATTGTTGTGTTTTTTCTTTTTAATGTGATTGGCAGGATCAGGGCGTTATATTGTAACACCCACACAGACTGTAAACAACAGCACTTTCTGACACGCAAACAGACTCAAAACCCACCAATTAAACCCAACTTCAATCCAGCCAGCCCTTATTCTGGGTGCTTATTTTCAGATTCTCTTTTTCTAAGCTTAAAAGGCAACAGTGCAGTCTGGTGAATGTCAGGCCTGTCTGATCCCCCAGATTCTTTGGACCTGCCCTCACGTTTTGCTGAGCTAAGAACAAAGTACACAGAGCGCAGCTTTTCTCCATGGAGTGCTTTGCTGTCTTAATATTAACGAAGTGGACCCAAAACAAGCAAGGACAAACATTTCTTTACACTATTCAAATGTGCCCACTGAATATAAAATGTCTCATCGACCACTGAATGCATGCCGCTGATTACTGATCCATCAGAGAATCGCACTTTGTTTATTATTCTGTCAGCAGAGAAGTCACAGCCAGTGCAGTTCAGCATCCACGGTCAAGAAAGGTTTCACACTTAACATGCAAAATCAGATCAGGCCGGTCGAAATGTTTAACCCCGCTCCTGTATGTACAGCAATGTACAGCACAGCACACACGGCCCGAACATTATGCAATCCCATTTTTACAACAAACCCCTTTCCACCCTGTCAAGCAGGAGGACTGTCAATTCTACCCAGCCATATCAAGTTACCACTCTCGCCCAGGTCCCAGCTCCTCTCCAACCACAGATCCTGTGCGCTATTAATATCAATAAGCTGCAGATTCCATTTCCCCAGACAAAGACAAAGGGAGAACAAGATGCGATGAGTGAGGGGAGGAACTAATACCCTTACGCATCGTGGGGTTAGTAGTCACTCTCACCTCCAACCCTGCTGCACTGAACAAAAGGAACATTTTGCACATGTAAAGCCGGACAATGTCAACTTTAACTAATAGGTCATATATTTTCCAATCATTTGTGGCTGTTTTTAACTGGGACAGCACAACACACACACCTCAGTACTGCTGCAGCTAACGTTCCTTGAGGTTTCCTTGAGTCTTTGTTTGTTTGTTTGTTTGTTTGTTTTGCACGTCTATCTTAAAGAATTTAGATTTAATTCTGTTTGCCAGAGCATGAGCAGAAATGAACAAATTAACAAAATGATTCATTGCTTGTTTTATCTCTTTAGAAAAGTCTCTAAACACTCGAATACTTCACTGAATTCACCCTTTTGCAATCTGTACGGCAATTATTATACATGTTGCAGTAGCATTGTACTATGACCAATAGAGAAAGGCATTGCCATCTACACCCTATACATAAAATCTGTCAATCACTTACAGAACACACCTACAAAGACGCTCGTACAGACTCGCAGTCATGGAGCACTGTGCCATAAAAGGAATGACGAGGAGGAGAAAACAGTGTAAAGATAATATAATCTTCACAGACTTACCTTCCAACAGTTAAACAGACTTTCATCATGTTTACAAAACTGTATATTCATTCATATTTCCTCCAAGCACTGAGTGTTTGAAATCCACTTCTGAAGAAGAGGAGAAAGCTGGCGGTGAAAGTAGTCTAAGTAGTAATGAGGTAGTCAAGTGAGTTTGCATGTGTGTATAAGAGAGAGTGAAAGAGAGAGAGAGAGAACTAGCCTGGCCAGACTGAAGAGCTGAGAGGTACTAAAGGTATGTGGTCAAAACACAACAAAAGTCGGCGCCGTGCTCTAAATTAAACATGCAGGAAGAGGCCCGTTTGCATAAACACAAACACTCAGCAAATGAAGAACTAGCACGGAGCAGACGCCTGCTGGGAGCCCTACCTGTCCTAGCCTCTTTTAATTAGACAGAGCATACAGAACAAATTAACATCAGCGTGGTCAAAAAACCAGAACAGGAAAAACAAAAAAGAAAAAAAAAAACTTCCTCATGCCTCTGATGACACGAACAGAGGATTTCCCAACAGTTACACAGAAGGCACTTGACTTTCTCTACACTTTGTCAAACACCATACATGAGCATTTTACTTTTACATACACACAGCTAATTACTTCATCAATAGGCACTCTGCAAGGCTGAGGATAAAATTCTGACTAAATAAAATGTACCAGTCTAAAAATGTCACCAGAGCATGAAGTCTTCAACATGAAACTACTTAATTACAACCTAAAATACTAATTAAATTTTTAAATATCAAATTTAATTAATGTAAGTAGGTCATTTTTTGGTGTGGGCTTTTATTAAATGATGTCCTCGATTAAAATGAAAGTACACCTTGTGATCTTCTTGTTCTTCCTTACATATGCTTCTCTTCTTCCCACCCCCTGGTGGAAAACCTGAATTTTAGCAGGGAGGAAAAAGTGATTTTTACGAACATCCATCGTCCAATGCCTTTCTTCCTAAAGACACTCTGCTGTTCCCACTCTCCTCTCTACACCCCTGATCCCTCCCCCACACCTTCTTATTTGCTTCATCTGATTCTTGGGCCAGGAATGCAGAAGTTTGTGCTGTAAGTGGGAAGCTCCTGAAAAAAGCGAGAGAAAAGAAAATCCTATCTTAGTAAAAACAAAACAAAAAGAATGGAAGCGGAGCCCCTCCAGAAAGTCTAGAGAGAAGCATCAGATGCTGAGTGACACATACTGATGTGGCCAGTCAAAGATGCAATTTTCATGTGAAACCCTCTCAAATGGATCAGGGGAAAAGGAGGGGCTAGGGGTGAGGTGACACAAGTTGACAGGAGAGGAGCGAGAGAGAGAAATTGAGGGGTGAGAGAGGGTAGGATAGAGGGAAAAAGAGCAGAAATGAGACCTCGGGAAAATAAACAGGGTGTTGGGTTTCAAAGGCAAGGGGGACACAGGCATTCCATTGTTCAAGCCAATTATCAGTAGAAAATAATAACAACAGATGGATCCAGAGCGGCCAACTTGTGCCGGAGCACCGTAGCGCTGGAGAACAGATGATGAAATGTGAGAGTGCTGTTGGAGGGGCAAGAGGGACAGGAGGGGTGGGGAGGTGCTGCTGCCCTACACACACACACACACACACATAAAGTGACACACATAGCTCCTCACACCAGATGTGAACTTCTACAAGGACAGCATAATATGTGCTCTCTGGCCACCATTTGTACCGTACAATAGTTTAGTCAACAGCACCACGTGTTCAAAAGGGGCATCTGAAGTCAGATGACACATATGGCCCCCGTGTTGCCATGTGATAAATTCAAATCTGTGCATTCCTTTGGTGCTCAACAAAGTGGGGTCATTTGTTGGTGAACACATGCTTGTTGCTGTAACAACACTAAAACATGTAATACACAGAATGAACATGCATTTTATTTATTTATTTTTATTTCACTCTGATGACCTCCTGTGATGTTGTCATTTGATGTTTTACAGCATATTTTATGTTCACAGGAAGAACAGAAAGCTTCACTAGTGCAGCGGAGGCAGACCTCATTGACTCTGGCTTCATTCACAGATCCCTCATATCATCCATGGACTGACAGGCAGCGGAGGGGGCTTGCAACCTTAAAACAAAACCAATTCTCTGTGTGCCCTGTCAAGGGTGGGAGATGTCTGCAGATAGCAGTACAAAAGATCTGCCCTTCCTTTCCACAAGAAAAGAGAAGTTTTCATTTCATTAACTCCAGACTAAAGCGTAATTATCTCCCTACAGACCTTAATCACCAACAGAAGGATAATAGAACAAAAAGCAGTTTCTTCTTCAGTCATTAAAGGTTTTTTTTTTTTAATGTTGTTGTTCTTTTTTTCTTTCCTCCGCACTTTAGACGAGTCCATCAAACAATGCAAAAGATTAATGGGGGCTGGATTAAAGTCTCATTTTCAAAAACTGTTAGTTAAGGAGGTTAAAAGATTTTGGCCGATTTGCTTGAACGCGTCATCTTTGGCTCCTTTTTATCAGGCGGTTTGACCTGTTGACCAGCAGGGGCTTTGGGTTGGCTCTGAAAGGATCACGATGTTGGATCAATAAGCGATTCGATTAAAAGTGGTAGAAAAAAAGCAAATATAATCAGTCTGAACACCAAAACACCTCTTTACAATTGTATATAATCTAAATGACTAGCATTGCTTGAAGCTGCTTGTGATATTATACCGTGAATGAAAAATCCCAGGAGGATTGTACAGACGGATTTCTGCAGCAGGAAGAAAAAAAGAATGGAAAACTTTGCCTAGATTTAATTAGCTCATGAGAAATAATTGCCATTAGCAAATCCCGTCAAATGGGGTTGAGGCATTTTGCTGTAAAAAAAAAAAAAAAAAAAAAAAAAGTCATATTTTTGGATGATGAGGAGACAAAGGGTTTTCAAACAGGAACTGGCGGGCCATCAGCCGTTTAGTGCACTGACACTGGGGTCGAGTTAATTAGACTATTGTCATTTTAATCAGGACAGCACGGCGGCCATCACTTCCTGAAAGAGCCAGTGGACTTTAAACAGCTGAGGGATTTTTGTGTACGTGTGTGCATGCGTGTGAATGTATGCGCATGCACTGCATGTGTGTTGGGCCTGAGGTGTCATCCGGCTATGGGTTATGGGGTATGGTCTGGTTCCCTCACATGCTTAGAACATTAATGAGCTGGAGACACACCACGGAAACAAAGGACCCTGAAGGATCACCAGGGGAAACTACTCGCCTCTACTCTACTCATGTCTCAGTTCATTTGAAAATAATTTAAATATCAAATATTTGAAATAATTTGCTTCTCCCTGGCTATCAGATTTTGAATAGGGAGTCTTTCATGTCTTCGTTATTATGTTCTTCACTAGCATTAGCATTTAAAACATAATTAATGTAACCATATTTTCGAGGTGCTTACCATTATGTTAGAATAATGGTTTATTTTTGTCTGATTTCCATATTTTATAAATACAATGGGATGATCGTAATAACAAACCCAAAGAATGGCAAATGATAGATCAAATCTTTGCTGAATATCATTAATCTAAAGAGAGTTTTAATCAAAACTGACAAAAGACTAGATTTAACCTGCTCAAGGCTTGCATGATGAAACTCACTTTGTGCCACTCCTTGTGAAAAACAGATAAAGAATGGTCGGTCGTATTTAGCCACCAGGCTTCGGAGCAAAAGTTGGGGGTGGAGCAGAATAACTCGAGCTGTCAGTGGAGCGCTGCCAATCAGTGGAGGTGATAAGGGGACCAGCTTAATGTTAACAACAAAACATCTTTGTGACTTTTCCCCTGGCCATAGTTCAGGTCATCTGTGGACAAGGTCACAAAGGTAACCTGGAGACAAATGCTGGTGAACTTCCCCCCGTGACACCGCCGCCAGCCCCGGGGGCAGGGCTGGCCAATGACATTAGCCAAGCTTCTGAGTACAAAGTAGACTCCTGCAATATTTCACATTCACCAACCTCAAGGGAAGCTGCATTAAAAGAGGCTGGAGCGGCCCTGGCACATTTGACTCTGTGTCACCACTACTATGTCTGTTTATGATTATATTAATGGTTCTGTAAGTTCATCGTTTTTAACATTAGTCATTAATATTTCACAGGGAGTTAATATTAATCTGATCAGAAATTATCTTCCTTCAATAATTCAAAATTCACATTAATAATTCAATAAAAAGAATGTTCTGCATAGTTGGGAGGGGAAAAATGAAGATATTCAATAACTAGAAAAGTCGCAATACAGCCCCAACTTGGCTACAGCGTAGTAGCAGAATGTAAAAAGCCACGAGCAGCTTTAATGCAATGCAGCTTGTTAGTAGGAACTAAGGTAACCTTGGTCAACTTAATAAGAGTTGTAATCCAGATTAAATAGACTGACTAACCCGGGACCAGAGGTTGCTGTATCCACTTGTGTACATTCAGAGATAAAGAAGAAACGCAGACAGTGAAGTCTCTGTGCCATTAGAAGCGCTGCACCATCCAAGTTCTTCAATAAGAGATTTGCAGGGATTAGACTGTGAAATAAAGACCTAATCTTTATTTGACAGGGAAGCCAATCTCTGGCTCACTGGTCAACCCCCTTGTGGCAGGCGCCTCTTTCACAACTCACTTTCACTGTTACACACCTCAGGCTTATTTAAAACCACATTTAGGCTGCACACTCTAGCCTGTATGAGGTCTCAATGTAATTATCATACGAAAAAGACAAAAAAAAAGAGATGAACTGTGAGCAGAGCCACAGAGGCAGAAAGACTTATTCCACAAACGACATCCAGTGTCTTACCTGCATGTGAGTGCATTGTGAGAGCAGGTTCCTTTGGTAATTTTCCTTTTTCAGCTGGCCTAAGCTGTGCCTGATTAAAAATCTAACCAATTTCCATGTGCAGTTCAATGACAGATGGAAAGAGATATTTCATGGAGATGTATAGTCGAGACTGATAAACTATTAATCACACTGCCGGACAATGACACCAGCTAAATTTAAACGCAAAGTGAAAAGGCGTCAAGTAACAGCCTCCCTTATTCCTTAAATTATTCATTACAGGGAGCTGTTATTGGACAGCAAATAGAATTAAAGCTCACAGATTCTACTTAATTACAGTACGTGTTGATGGTGGCTACAGATGTCACAGTTTGGACTGGCAATCCTTCACTAAGTTTAACCCTGTCAGACAGTGACCACGGTCGACTCCTGTCCTGCTGTCTTCTTTTCACCATGCCTCTGTATCTGTATCTGTGTGCTGTATATTTCTAATATAAGAGAAATATGTTAATAACATATCTAAAATTATCTCAAGTGAAATCTATTCCTCACGGCCCTTTTCTTCCAAACCAGTGTGCTGCATATTTGCAAATCTGTTGTTTGATATGCACAGATTTGAAACTTAATAACAAAATTTTATTACAAGAACAAAAAGCAGAAAAAAATGGTTGGGGGGGGGGTATTTATAAATGTTGTGGTCCTATAGTCTGTCCTGCAGGGCAGCACTGACTCTGCCTTTCACATCTTTGCAGTACTGTCAACGGCACATGCAGCAGAGGCGCATCACAGCTGAGCAGACAGTGGTGCAGAGTGAAGAAGTGTCCTCATGGTAAAGCATCAGTTAACAGTCAACAACCTCATTATCAGGGTATCTACAGCTATAAGCAAGTTAAATTTCAGACTTCGTACGACCTTCTTATCAACACTGTACACTGACCTTGTTTTTTTTATCTGTGGATGATGTTTTTTATATTTGAAATGTATTTTTGTGAAACTAAGCCACTGTTCCTGTGGTCAAACGACTGCTTCATTTGTCTGTAGCTATGTGATATCTGATCCTGCCACCTAGCAAGTCACAGGTGCTACAATAAATAAATACATTCATTTCCTTAAACAAGCGTTTTCTTCAGTAACAAATACAGCAGTTTATTTGTAACTGTAAATGAATGATTAAGAACAAGGAAATAAATAAATCTGACACAGTTCTCAAGAGCTAAAGGTTTCTACCTTTACAGAAGCACTTCTCCTGTGTTTGGGCAAGGCGACTGGACAAATATATTGGCTGTCAGTGAGTGGTTGACCTCGCTTACTGGCCTGCCCCTATGTGAATTCAATTTGGGAAATGATTAACTTGCAAACCAAGACAGTACAGATAATTTTAACATTTTCCCCAACCTTACCAGGTGCAATAGCTTTTCAATAATGGCCAAATTCTGAACATCTTGAATGAACTTCACTTGAAAATGAGACGCTGCAACTGGGAATACATTTTACAAAAATGGAAAGTATAGAAAAAACATGTATCAACATGACCTCCATCAAACAAGAATAAATGGTAGTTTCAGCTAACGTCTGATTTACATTGTTTTAAAAAATATCCGTCTACATCCCAAAAGGTTGATTCTGTTCATCTGGATGTAACGTTTTCGGTGGGAGAAACGTTTCGTCACTCGTCCAAGTGACTTCTTCAGTCTCAGCTGACTGCAGGTTTCCCCAACCTTACAAACAGTGCCTGAAACTAGCACCACAGACTGAACAATGGGGAACTGTGAGGTCACAGCCCATTGTTGTGAGTGACGAAACGTTTCTCCCACTGAAAACGTTACGTCCAGATGAACAGAATCAACCTTTTGGGATTTACTTACCTGGATGACTGAGCATGCATCAAGACAGAGCCATCTACAAATTAGCAAAGGTTCAGTGTGTGATGGAAGTTGTAGTTTCCCTAAAACAGTAAAGACTTAAAGATATACAAAATAACCATTAACTGTTAAATTAAGCTACCATAAAAATTCACACAGTAATCAAATGTCATTTTCCTATTACTGGCACACAAAGGCTTTGTTTGTGTGCTCCATATCCGCTCAGTGTTTCTCCCTCACTATCTTTCTCCCTCTCTCTTCCTTGTATTACCCCCAGCTTACAGCAGCAAACAGAGTTGTATGCAAATACTAAAAGCCATAATGCATTATATTGTTTGGTGTTAACATTTGAATATTTAAATGGCACGTTTTAGATCTAGATATTCCCATTTCAATTTCCATATACTGTACATGCTGCATGCAGACAGTTAAGTTTGACCACATGGCAGCCTGAATATTTTTTCAGTTTATTTGCATCTTTTCCGCACAATATTGGTTTGACATGCCATCATTTTCATTATTATGTTCTTGCTGCATATATACTTGTTAATAATGCAAGTTACCAATGTTTATTAAATGTCTCCAGTATGTGGCCAGTGTCACAGCCACAGAGCTAGATGTTTGAATCACCCACGTACATGCCACTTAACCAAATTGGCAAAGCTGATAAGCTGTATTTACATAGCAGTGTTGCTGAGCGTGATTGCTATCAGTAAAACTTCCCCCCACGCTTTAATGGAAAGTTGGGCTATAACTTAGTGTGGGTTACAGCTGCCCTCGGGAAAATAGCTCAATTACACTCATGGATATAAACACTCATGTGGTTGTCAAAGTGGTAAACAGATGTGGGGTGACAGTCTGTTGTATGTGCTCAGTCAAGCAGCTGTTGCCGCACCTTCATTCATGCACTTGTTCTGATGACGGATTCCTGTTTCTCTTCCCATGGCTCAAAGTGAAGCCGTGTTGTTTGCTTATGGGGCAGTGGCAAAAGGCAGATTATATGATAGAATATTATTAGTGTGCTGCCTGTGTGAAGCTGCACTTTTACTGCTGCTGTCAAACTGTCGGTTTGCACGGAGTGGACATGCATCTCCATAAAGACCTTTCTGTTATTAGGCAGGGCAGAACCAAACCCGCACCATCTTTCCAAACAGAGAAGACAGCATAAGAGCATTCCGAATGATGTCATATGATGTTATTTTGCCTTGGCGCACTGTGCGTTTGTGCTCACACAGTGTATTGAAAAGGACATCCCCTTTGGCTGTTGTCTCATTGGGAGCCTACCTGTCACACGGCTGATATGACGCTCTTTGAATGCAATGTGTACATGTGATCAGAGCTGCAGTGAGCACCCCAGATGACAAAGTGACTAGGAGTGTCAAAGCAGCCTACAAACAGTCCTGTCCTCTTCTAGACAGGAAGCTGGGAGCAGCAGAGGCGCTGCCTTGTCTCATCTGCCAGCAGTGCTCGCTGCCTCCCCGCCTCATCACAGCATCCATGTCTGATGGTGTGCACAACTCCATGCTGGACGGCTGTTTTGATTTCAGCCTGTGTGACACATCTGTTGCTTGTCACGTTGTGTTGTGCCTGTCTTGTGAGCGCGACCGGGGCAAATCTGCTTCTCATCTCTCTGTTCGTGTTTACAAACAGGGCTGGCGTTTACAAACAGGCCAGCATGGTATGTGCTGTGCAGAAGGTCAGAATGCCTTATGAGACACTAGGTGCACCTGTGCAGCTGCTACTACAAGCCATCAATCCTCATAACCTGCTGTAAATGTGTAGGTTGTAGAATGTGAGTGCTCTGTATAAAAAGATGCATTACCTACTAATAAAACCTGTATGAAATGTTAAGTAAAAGCCCCAAGTAATTGCGGCGCTGATTGTATATAATACACAGTGAAAGGAAAAAAGTTATGGATCTTGGTCACTTTCTCATCCTTTAAGAATTTCCAATCATTGTACACTACCTACTGAAAATCAATTACTTCCCTCCCACGTCTAATTGAAAAAATTTGCTGTAAATCAAAGCTGCATCAAGGGAGCATTCTTCACAGTCCGCTCTTTATGGGCTTTCAAAGTACTCTGCATGAGCGCCTCACAAAACTACCAAAATCAAGGATATTCTACGCAAGACTTCCACTGTCAGCTTAAATACATGAGCGATGACTATGGCTAATTGGATCCATCCAATCCATCCATCTATGAAGCACAGATGCTTTATCAGCGAAAATCAAATGACATTGTTTCAATCAGCAAGGCGGGCACAGCACTAAAGAACCAGAAAGGTATTTATTAATGAGATGCTACAGCAGCTTAGGAGGGGTGCATTCACAATTGTTTCATTTCTATGTCCTTGTCTTTCCAATTAATAATCCAAAGTGCTTTATAATTACTAGCTTAGGATTCATTTCCATGTTAAGTGCTGCTGTGACCATAAATTGCAGTGGAAACAGTTCTGATAGCAATGTGTGTTCACTGAATTTAAAACTGTGTTTTTTTTTCCGATTATTGTCGAACAAATTAATCGAAAAAGACAAAAATGAATAGAAATGACTAAATTCAAAACTACACTAAAAATAACAGTAAATTCAGCTTTTGTCTACACGAACCATCTGCTTGAGTATCAAACCCTTGCCTGCTATGTAAATGCAATCCCTCTTAAGAGGGTGGGGAAAAATTTGAGATGGCTCATTTACATTGCCAAATGACACAACACTCATACTTTCCATTTACTATCAAACTGTTTTGCAGACACACTAACCTGGAAATGATCAGCCAGAGTACTTCCTCACCACCAAGTCAATGTAACATCACTGCTGTAAAACAAACTGAAATCACACTCAACGGCACACGGCGTGATCGAACACCGTGACTGCCATTTCGACTGGCCTCGTCAGACCACGAGACAACACGTAGCAGCGCTGGCACGGCAGGGAGGCACAACGCTGCTACGGAGCGCTAATATATTCAAAGAGGGATCATTTACTTAAGGCTTGCATCCAAGGATCAGCCTGGCCTTCATTAGCCTCAATCTGACACGGATGTGAACAACATGTTGCCTTGCCACACGAACACTGCCCCTCCTCCCTCTGAACCCCAAACACTTGAATCCCTTTCCTTCTCTGAGACCTTCACAGCAAATTCCTCTGGAAATATCACAGGTTGTTAGCATTCCAGAGAGAATTTTACATGGGTGTACACTCAGGCTTTAATTAGAGACTCTATTTGATCATTCAGCAGCTGGGCTTTATTAAAAATATGGGTTCACCTCGTCTTACAGTCACCCCCGGCTCAGTGTGAAAGAGCTCACAGAGGCAGAAGAGTCTACGAGAGGAGAAAATGAATATTCATTGCTCGATACATAGAGTGTCTGTATGGGAAATCTACACCCCGCGAGGCAGTGTTTACACTTGGTTTACAACAACACTGAATATCAGTCATGTCACAATCACCACTGTGAGCAAAGTTCATCTCTATCTTTTTTTAATGTGAACACCTGACTAATAAGATCTCCATTAATAGTCTGTTTCCGAGCCACATGTTGTTTACTGAAAAGCTTCAACCGTAAATGTCAGCACAGAACCCGAGCTACATCGACCTGAAAGAACCAAAGAGATGTAAACTATATCTGACCAAGGTCGACAGGGACTATAAAACAAACACCGGGTTTAAGGTGAAGTCTTCCCTGCGTGAAGGTTAGCCATGTTTTGTGTTTACACTACACTGCAGGCTTTGAAATTGTTTTGCAGTGTGGAGTCTGCCCAGGGTCATTGTTTGTTTTTGACGTGTTTATACACCACACAAGGAGTAATGACTTCTAGGATAGTCTGGGGATGCAGACATGAGCCAGCACACTATCTGCAATTTTCTTTACTTTTCAGGTTCACAGTTAACTCTGAACACTAGCACGACTCACTGACCTGGCCCCTTGCACGCATTTAAGCATTCAAACTCATGTCAACATGCAACTGCATCAGGAAAAGAGGAAATCGGTTACTATGCAAAACCTTTCTTATCATCCTCTGGCATTCAAACTCACAACTATTACCATATAATGCCCTTCTTTGAGAAGACATTAGGAAGAATGCACCAAAAGCTGGTGCACGAGTCGTGTTTCTTAACCAAATGCTGGTGTCTACTGATGTTTCTGTGAGGTACTTACTTTAATCTATGGCTCCACAGGATGTCACCACTGGAGTGTCCTGGCTGGATCGGCAAGCAGTCAGCAGAAGGGGAGGAGAGAAGAAGAGAGGAGGTAGTAAAGGAAAGTTAAGGGGTGGGGGTGGCAGAATGGAAAAAAGAAGAGAAACAGTGGAAATTATTTCAAACGTGAAGGTGACAAAAGCAAGAACATACTTATTTTTCCACAATCAGCTTTTTCAATAATAACCATGCTGTCACAACACGCAACCACATGCACCTCTCAGTTAAGTGTGAGTTCAAAACTGAAAGGTCACAAAAAAGGTCACTTTCAAATTAATATTCATGTCAGGCAGATAATAGGTTTGAACAGGCTTCTCAGTGGCCCGTTTACATATCAGTGGATCTAGATTTAGTCTCTCAAACAAGAACTCCCTTGATTAAACAAATAATGACAAATTCCAACAACTGTAACTGAGTCCAAATTAATTTGAACATTGCTCTAATTGCATTTAAGCACTCCTCCTCCCTAACCTAAGATCAACCGCGTTTTAATTACTGCCTTCTGAAGAATGAATCCCCGCAGTGGCGGTGGAAAAATAAAAATAGAGCATGTTTTACAGAACACTAAAATGTAAATGTTTTTGTTCAGTATAAATAAAGCTCCACTGCACTGACTTCTCACAACACTCGTGCTTTCTGAAATAGCTTGTTCGCCCTTTTCAAATTGCCACACATTAGCACTCAGCCTCTTACAGCCGTGCTCTGTCATTCAGCTCTACTGCCCCATGCCCCTTCGCCTTAACTCTTTCCCTCCGTTTGCAAACACGCAGGGAAGAGACGGCGAAATGTGTTTCCTGAATGGGAGGAGAGGTGGAAAAAGCCCATCCTGCCCCAAGAATCACCGCCGCCCCGCCAGAGCTGCCGCCACTGGCCTTTCTGCAAAGGCAGCAAAAGTTCCCCAAGAGGGGAGCGTCTGCCAACTCAAACAGGGCTCATTCTCCTCTCTCTGGGCCGTCAGCCGCCCATGTGGGCCTGCGCTGGGCTTCCTGAGGGCTCAATGCAGCTGGAGGACTTTGAATAAAGGTAACGCCAATGTCACAGCTACTGTAAACTTGCGAGGCTGCTCCTGTCAGCAGGACATTCCCAATCAAAGCAGAAACAACCCCACCTAAAACACAACACATTGTTTTTTTCCACTGGCCCCAAGTCCAAACTTCCCACGAATCACAAAGACAGCACACAGGCGAGAGGGCAACCACGGTTCCCTGATCTTGCCAAACAAAATGCCAAGAGACCAGGAATGACATTCAGCTCTGGGGTTTAAAAATACGAGCAATTTGAAAATGATTAGTCTTATTTTCTTGTTGAGCGCCTGACACAGGAGAGGAAACCAGAACAATCAACCCAACTGCCTTTTTTTCTGCTGAATTTAGAAACACTAATTAGTTTTGCTCTCGTAAAGCCAACCTGAAAACGACCAATTAGAAAGTGAAAATGAGACATGCAGAGAAACAAGAGCTTGTCATTTGCACTGTTTAAGTCCCATATGCACAACTTTACTGTGATGACTTTCACACAAGCTCGAGATGATTGGCATGCCACCTACTAAATTTGATGTCGCATACACACACACACCAGTCAAACAGCCTTTTGCCTAGTTGGATGAAACTATTACAGATCTGTACGACCACATCAAATTCGAGCTAGGCAGCCTGGGCATGCAGATGTCTGAAGCACCAGGCTGGGAGAGGATACAGCCCACCAGGCTGACCACAGCACCAGCTGGTTACAGCTACAGACGTACCAGAGCCAAACTGCTCCCCCTTACAGGTGCCTCTTCTCTGAGTTTCCTCTTTCAGGGGTACTGGAATAATACATCTGTATGTACTCTTTCACTGTAACAACTGAGGCAGGTATCTTTAAGTACTTCTTTTTCAGACACACCTGAAATATATTTCACCTGCTGAGTGCCGTTGGTTCACATCTATCCAGTCACTAGAAGTGAACGTAAAATGTGAAAATTATCTGCAGGAATTTCAGTGCTATTCCCCCGGCAAACAGTGGCGAGTGTTTCATCACTGTCGGACTGAAGACGGATGAGCTGTCAGTGCCTTCCCCTGTCCACAATCCAGCTCCTGGGCTGGGAAGTGGCTAAAAAAGGCCGGGGCAACGCTTTCCAGGACTGCGCCTTTTACTGGGAGTAATTCTCAGATGCCAGATTGCTGCCAACGTCCTTGCAGCCAATGGCAGAGAGGCCAGTAAGTTCACATTAACTGCAGAGTGTAACTGCACTGAACATCTGCTCATGAATGAGAGCGCTGCCCACTAACTCAGCTAGTTGAAGCCCGCTGATGAAAAATTCAACGTTCTCCTCGTTGGCACGCTTGTTTTGCACTATTCTCCTGAGCCCCTAGAATTATATTAAGAGAATTTCAGCACGGCCTGGTGTATCTGAGAGAACAGCTGGCGCTGAAAAGAGATCTGCCGCTCGGCGAGGGCTCAGGGACTTCACACGGGATCTGCCTTCTCCTACACCATTTGTCCTTGAAGAGAAAAAAAACCCCACCAGTGTTAAGCACCCAGGTAATAATAAGAAAGCAGAGGCTACATTTAGCTGATTACACCACCCATGTACAGCGGACAGCGCATAACCACTGAAGACATGAATCGATATTGAGTGGAAAAGGAAGACAGAAGAGCATTTGTGACATGAGGCAGCTCCCCCGACCTCAGGAGACCTATTCGGTGCACCTCTCTTTTGTTTGTCTTGTTTGGCTCATTAGATTGTTAAATAGGAAGAATCTGCCCCCCAACCCCACAATATGGAACAAGCTTAATCAGAAACAAAGGCAGTGGGTTAAGGGAACAACTACTTCAAAGACCTTCAAGTGCTGCAATCATGTGCCCCATAAGTTTCTAATGTTACAGGAGATGTGAAACGGACAAATATACAATGTTCAGGCAAACAATGAAAGTTGTCATGTTCATGTTCTACGACAACTACTGACCCCAACTTTTTCTGGCATGCCCCATTTCACCACCCAAACCCAGTTCATGCATCACTCGCAGCTATTTTTAATCAATTGGCAACTATAAGAAATGATCCAAATTTCGGTAAAAATAATGTTTAGCACGGCAGCAACAGCAAACTTCCAACTTTCATTTTCCCAAATCAAAAGTCATATTTATTCAACTTAACTTGACTCTATATTTTGCCCCTGAAAAAAAGGTACACAGTGACATGAACTGACAAAGTCTTTCCTGTGAAGATGATGAAACCGTTTCTCCACTTAAAAATGTTAAATTTAAGGAAGTGATGACTGCTTGCAAACACTAAGAATAAAAGATTACCAAACTCAGTAATTTCACTTCTGTCTTTCTGGAAATACAGTTAACATATTTCTATATGTCAGCAAAGAGCACAAACTAAGAGAGCGAAACCATGTGTCTCATAGTTGATTTAGTTCAAATCTCAGTTTTACAGTGTCTGACCTTTGCATCAAAATCAGGTGATTTTAATACATCTCTGCCTTCATCTGGATTTCTGTGCTTCGTGTTGAAGGAAGCCAGAACAAGCTTAATTCATTTCTTTAATACCATGCACTGGATAATGTGGAAATCATGGCAATGGCCCAAAAGGGGATCCGTGAATATGATATTGCCATTGAAAACTGAGAGGATGTCTGGTGAGAAGCTCATTTAGCTGGTGACAAATGACAGCACTTTGTCTTCCTGACAAGATCCCTCCTTCATCAAATGTCCAACTTCACATGGAAATAGGAAATCACACATTATCACACTGACAAACAATTACAACCATGTCATTAGCAGCAACCCTGGGCCTGGAACCATTAACAAAATACAATGTTGCACACCACGCTAACCATCAGAAGGAACACAGGATGTAGATGAAAATCACTGATAAATCAATCATGACACAAACAACCTGATGCTTATAGTTTGGGAGCTATAAATGGAGGGAATGAGGGGTGATTACAGTCGTGTGTGCCAGCTAAATAAATCACAAAAAAATTAATAAATAAAAAAGCTCAAGCAATCAAAAGTTCTGAATAAAGATTTACGTCTTTGCTGATGACAGAACAGTGCTTGCTTTATATTAAAAGTCAACACTTTAAAGGAGTTTCACTGTACGTGACTTAATCAGATATGGAGCATTAGTATCTTTTTTAATACATCTCCCAGTGTCAGGCAGCAAATGAAAAAAGCTAGCCTCTGTAAATATGACTGCTTACTTCTAACACAAACATTGTTGACACCTAATGTAATTTCAGCGGGACATCCAACTGAAAGCACACCGGGGTAATATAATGCTCTTAATGAGAATTCCTTCCAGCTTGAGACCTTGGCGAGATAGCCATAATGCATGGCTTCTCTTTTTAATAAAATAATTGTTACAGTTATTAAAGATGAATCTCATCACAGCCAAGATGACAAAATAATTCATTACCAAAACCAAGGCTTTAAATAGCTGCAAATTATGGAGCCCTACCCCCAACCCCTGGAAAATACACTTCTAGATAAATGGCTTCGTTATTTCATATAAATATTAGATATACAGCATGCTGCCATTGAAAGGAAAAAAATATTGCAACTGTCCATTAAATAAGTTTGCATACACACAATGCACCATGGGCAACGCGTCAATAACTATTCAAAAATACATAAAGAAATAAACAGTTTTCCAAACCTGTAGCAGCCACAAAAAAACCCTACTCTGTTTTTTTTTAATCAAACCGTGCATTTGTTTTATAAATTAATTGCATCTAAATCAATTCTGTTAAGCAGAATGACTGAGTTAGACTGTATTTTTTTTACTGTTACTACAATAATGACCACAATTGTAATGTTATGTATATATTTTCTCTCAAAATTTCAAATGAAAACACAAATGTAGATAAATCTAAATTACACTTGTCCTAAAAAATTACATAGAAGCATTCTTAAAAAAAAGAAAAAAAGGAAAAACCAGACACATGCACACAACACTGATCGGCTACTGCCTACATGACGTTGCACGTATTCCAGTTTGGCTTCTTTTGGAA